TGTGTCTGTGTATATGTGTACATACATATCTATGTGTTTGTTGTGGGCTTTTACTCTTTTTGTATATACAAATATATTCCTTAATGAATTTCCTACCGCTACTGTATTACTTTGCTTTAAAATTGCCTCCCTTTTGTGTAAACCCTCTTGAATTATCTTTTTTGGGACTTTTTTATTCTTATTTTGTATTCAGTGTTGTTTGATATTTGTCGCTTTTTTATTTCTGAGAATTTGTGGTTGAGTATTTTTATGGATTTTTATTGTTTTGTATTTTAATGTATTTCATTATCTGATTGAGATCCCCCACTTTGTATTTGTAGTTAAGTATTTTAATGTATTTTTATGCCTTCTCTTTTTGTACCATTTTTAGCTGTTTTTCAATGTTCCTCATTTGTTATTTTACATTCAATTTGGCACCTTGCCACAATTTTGATAGAATAAAGTACTGTATAAAGAATTAATTCTTAATGTAGGCTTACCTCAATGCAAGAACTTTTTTCGGGCAGAATCCTCACAATCATTTCATGACTTTCATCTACAAAAAGGATGGCCCGTTGGTAAAAGAGCCTTGGCTCATAGCCTTTCTTATTCTGTGACCATTGCACAAGCCTCACAACAAGTCGGTAGAATATGCCTTCAGGTAGGAACCCATTGAAGTCAATGTACAGGATGACCATTGACTTAGATTCCACCGGCTGATCTTTGCACACCGTTTCATCATCTTGCTTCTTTAGCAGGGATGGTACATAAAAGAGCCGGATGCCTTCCTCGGTTGATTGGACAACATCAGCTGGCATCTAACAGAATATACAATTAATAGTTCATAAAACACAACATTAAATCAAATCATACAATGAGAGTAATGACATTAGTTCCTGGATAGCAGTGCAAGTGTAGTCCAAAATAAATGCATTAAACTGAATGGAAAAGTCTTTTATAGCTGTGCTGGGTTGGATTCAGAGATGTCCGCAAGGGAGGGAAGTGGGCCCCCCGAAAGTGGGGCTGATGCCCCTGCAAAATGTATGTTTCCTAGACAACCAAATATAACCTCTGTGGCATTTTTGGTGATAATTTTTTCTTCTTCTTTCTTTTTCTTTTTTTCTTTTTTTTTTACTTCCTAAAAGGGGACCTAGGGCCAGGCCACCCCCTCCCTCACCCACAAAAAAAAATACAATTCCCCTCTAAATCCTCCCCTGCTGTGTACCATTATTATTTTAGAAGAGAGGTTTAATTTGCTGGTCCATGTGCACAGTGACTATACATTTATCGAAAATAAAAATATGAAAATGACATATTATATGTATCTGTACCTCATCAGATTCAGTTTTCAAACAAGTTTTCAAACACAGCAAGTCAAACTTCTGCATTAGCTCTGACAAGAATTCAAACTGATCGAGAAATTTATGCCACATGTGTCTGAGTAGCCTCTCTTCCAAGATTCCATGCTCATGAAGTCTTTCCAACGAACTTTCCAAATGGGAATACTTATAGTAAACAAACAAAAACATTTTTTTGTGAAATCTATATTTGTACCGGAGTAGTACTGATGGTAGTGGTAGTGATGATGCTGTTTATAATAATATTAATGTAATAATAATAATTTAATAATACTAATATTGGCACAGCAGTTGTGTTTTGGTCTCTAAAACTTAAGGTCAGAGGTTTAAACATTTGTAGTAGGGAAAATAGCTTTTTTATGATTAATTAGTTGATTTATCTCAGAATGCTACTTTGAAATAAATTATGAATTATAAATAATTAATACAGATTTGTTTGATAATTTGAATGACAAAAATAGAATACAATCGATGTCTCATGATACACTCAGCTACGGCAATAAAAAATATATTGTATCAGTTCACCAAGTTTTGAAAAATGATCATGGAAAGTTTTATAATCAAATCAAATAAAGTTATATAATTAAATGCTTTTTGAAAAAGAAGAAATTACTGTACATAAATATAATATAGTAATAACAACAATAATTAAAAAAGAAATAAAACATTCTAATATAACATATAATCATATTTTCCACATTTTTGTCTAGCTCTAAATACACAATACAATGTATAAAAATGAAAATCTTCATACTTTGTTTGAGAAAGCATTGACTGTAAACACTTTGCTGAAGACCAATATCAACCACTGCGGATTGAGTATGATTATATCATTGAGGAGGCTGTCTGGTGTATCAAGTTTACCATAATAGACAATGTTTCCAAGGTCATGATATAAATGCAATGAAGTAAACACTAGTTTTCTTTTGATGATACCACACTTTGCAGCTAGATCTTTTACCTAAAATTGACAAATTTACATAAATATATAATTGTAAGAAATCTAATGGATTCGAATGAAGATTTTTTATCACAGCTAAAACTTTGTACCATAAGCTTTGCTAAGAGACTTATTATAATGTCGATCTTAGATATGAAAAAAATTGAAATTATTAGGCCTATATAATTTGCAAGTAGATTAATTTACATCTACACATTACTAATGCACCCTCCCAGTTCATATAAATATCATAATGTATAACTAACCTAGCAACTATGTAATTAATACTTGCCTCTGTGAAGCTAATTGAGTGCATTTGGTTATTGCGCAACTGCTCAATCTCATGCCAAAAGTGAAGCCACTTTATGGGGAATCTTTCCTCCAAGTACTTCTCTAGCTTAGCAACCTTGGTGATGTGGTCCCTTAGATTAACAATAGCTTCATCCAGGGGTGCCCTAAGGCTGTTGTCAATTGCATAGTAC